ACCCCAAGCTGTGTTCCTGCCAAGGCACCATTGCCACGGACTCCAAGCTGTGTTCCTGCTAAGGCAACATTGCCATGGACCCCAACCTGTGTTCCTGCCAAGGCAACATTGCCACAAACTTCAAGCTGTGTACCTGCCAAGGCAACATTGCCACGGACCTCAAGCTGTGTTCCTGCCAAGGCAACATTTCCACGGACCCCAGTTTGTGTTCCTGCCAGGGCAGCATTGCCACGGACCTCAAGCTGTGGAAATGCCAAGGCAACATTGCTACGGACCCCAAGCTGTGTTCCTGCCAAGGCAACATTGCCACGGACCCCAAGCTGTGTTCCTGCCAAGGCAACATTGCGACGGACCCCAAGCTGTGTTCCTGCCAAGGCAACATTGCGACGGACCCCAAGCTGTGTTCCTGCCAAGGCAACATTTCCACGGACCCCAGGCTGTGTTCCTGCCAAGGCAACATTGCGACGGACCCCAAACTGTGTTCCTGCAAAGGCAACATTGCCACGGACCCCAGGCTGTGTTCCTGCCAAGGCAACATTGCGACGGACCCCAAGCTGTGTTCCTGGAAAACTTCACAGAGATCGCGCTCGGCCTACGAGTATATATTTTTTCTTTTCCACTTGTGTGTTAATCTGTGTTTACCCCAGATATTTTAGAGATGGCAATTCTCCTGCTGTGTATCCTACTGCTGTCCCTCCCGGCCATATCTAGTGCCACACTCAACTCTACAAACAGCTACCCTCGTTACTTTGCGTCCATACTTGTTGCTCGATTTGCCACTACACCTGCTAATGAAACAGCTCATAGACACTTCTACACTCCATCATTGTATCCATTTAAACCCTATCTTTGTCCCATTACTTCACCAGCACTCTTTTCAAACTTCATTCTGCTCTTAAAAATAACACCATCTGCGAGCTACTGCAATTCGTCCAAGGTTCGCCGCTCTTCATCCTTTCACAGAAAATACTTGTGCAAACTATTAATTCTACTTTTATTTCTGGGTGGTATTGAGCTTCATCCTGGCCCAAATGAAAAGAACTCGTATAATTCTGTAGATTTTTCTGGCAGGAAAGGTGTTGGTGTTCTACATGTCAACATCAGAGACTTGTGATTAAATTAAGTCAACTAAAACTAGAAGTGGAAAATCTTGACCCGGACATTTTTTGCCTAACAGAAACATTTCTCACTCCTGCCGTCAATGACTTGCAGATTGCGATTGACAACTACAACCTTTTTCGGCTTGACCGAGGATCTAAAGGAGGTGGAATTGCCATCTATGTTCGTAATACTATTGCATGTTCACTAGCTCACTCCTTGTTTAAAAAATGTTGCTTTGAAGGTCTGGCTCTCAGAATAACTCTCCCAAATAATCAACAGATATTGGTAGTGTGCTGCTATCGACCGCCTAGTGGGAAGGATGTTGAAGCTGCATCTGCACTGAGAGAGCTTTTTGGGGGCCTCCCTAAAGGTGAAATGGTTTTAGTGGGTGATCTAAATTGGAATTGGCTAAACCCACCGGCCGTGGCCACAAATTTTGCAGATGAATTTAATCTGTTTCAATTAATAAATGTCCCCACAAGACCCAACCTAAAATATCCGGGACAGTCATATCTGCTTCATGTCCTATTGACTAAATGCCCCTCACAATTTCACACTGACTGGTTTTCTGGGTAATAACCTTAGTGATCACTCCTTTTTTGGGGTGAGATCATCAGCTAGACCAAAAGCCCCCCCTAAATTGGTTGAGAAGCACTCTATGAGACACTTCAGCACTCAGGCATTTACTAATGATGTGCTTCACTCGGATATTGACAAGGATATCCCCAACCTGACTACGGTTGGGAGACATTCAGGTACACGTTTCTCCAAATTCTTTACAAACATGCTCCGTTGGTTAGATTTAAAACTAAAAGCAACCGCCCACCATGGTATGATCCTTTGATTACAAAGCTCATGAAAACTAGGGACAAGGCTTGGGCATGTGCTCAGAACAGTAATTTGGTCAATGACTGACTATACTACAGGATATTAAGGAATAGATGCGTCAAAAATACGGCATGCAAAAAATGCCTACTTTTCCTCCACTCTCCTGGAATCACATGGAAATGCCAGGATTTTCTGGAAAACCATCAAATGTATCGAAAAGGCATCCAAAACAGACAATCTGCCCATTGAGCTTAACCGAAATAGGGAATATTTTTCAGATCCCAAAAAAATAGTTGACAATTTTAACCTTCATTTTTCTGAAGCTGGTAATCTTTTTGATAATGCATTGGGAGTCACCCCTGCTCATGCAAATTCCTACAGCACTGTCCAAACATGAAACGAATTTAGTTTCCAGCCAATCCACAAAAGTAATGTTCTGAAACAACTGTCCTACCTCAAAGGGTACTCCTCTACCGGAGCAGATAGTATTCCCGTCTTTGCTCTACTAACTGTTGGGTCCTCCTCTACCGGAGCAGATAGTATTCCCGTCTTTGCTCTACTAACTGTTGGTCGCCTAATATACAAACCTATATCCCACATTTTCAACCTGTCCATAAAAAAAGCATCAGTTCCTCTAGAATGTAAACATTCCTATGTCCGTCCACTTCACAAAAGGGGGCCCTAAAGATGATCCAAATAACTACCGACCTATCTCAATTTTGTTCCCATTGATGAAAATTTTTGAAAAATTATTGACCTACCAAATTAGCAGTTTCCTGTCCACCAACAATCTACTACATCTAAACAATCTGGGTTCCGAAAGAAATACAGCACCACATCTGCTGCATTAGACTCTCTGAATCACATTTACAGTAGCCTTGATAATAAGCAGTACTGTGCCTGTCTTTTTTCTAGACCTGTCCAAAGCTTTTGATACAGTAGAGCACAACACCCTGCTTAGTAAACTAAGTTGCCTCGGTTTTTCCGAAAACGCAGTAAAATGGTTACAAAATTACCTCTTTTCTCGCACCCAAAGTGTATTCACAGATGGTTGGAGGTCAAACAGTGTTAAGATAACAAAAGGGTTTCCACAGGGTTCCATCCTCAGCCCCCTTTTGTTCTCTCTTTATGTCAATGACTTGGGCACTGACCTGGATCATTCCAGGGAATATCTTTTTGCAGATGACACGATACTGATTACTGCTGGCCGCTCTCCGGATACCGTGATTGCTAAGCTACAGGGTGATTTCAACAAACTACAACATCAGCTAGTTGCTCTTAAACTAGTCCTGAATACCTCCAAAACCAAGGTGCTATGCTTCTCACCAGGACTAGAGCAGGAAGTTATTTTTCCCCAATTACATTCCTTAAATAATTATCAAATAAAGCAAGTCAAGATCTATAAGTATCCTGGGGTCATCCTGGATTCAAAACTGCATTTTGAAGATCACATTGATTAAATTGGTAAAAAGACAAAAAAAATTGGTTTTCTGTATCGACACAAGCACTGCTTCCCCCCAATGTTCCGTTTGGAATTGATAAAAGCTACCATACTGCCTCTACTTGACTATTGTGACATCGTGTATAAATCAGCCCCAAGTACTGTACTGAAGAAGCTTGATTCCATCTATCACTTGGCCTTAAGATTTACATTGAACTGCCCATATAGGACTCACCACTGTGATCTCTACATTGGGTCAAACTTAACATATCTTAATGTTCCACGGCTTGTGCACCAGATCTTATTTATTCACGATGTACTTACAAAAAAATCCGCAGACTACCTACTGGATCTCCTCTCTGTTTCAAAGAACAAATTTGACCTCAGGTCTTCGCTCATTTACCAGCTTCACATTCCCTATTGCCGTACAAAAACTGGAGGAAGGCCCTTTGCTATTGATGCCCCCAGGGTCTGCAATGCTATTGCCAATAAACTGCAACTTGAATCGCTACCAATGAGATCTTCTCTCAAAACTGCTCTAGAAGAGTTGTACACCCCTAGCTGCCACTGCTATTTATTGGCGTAAAATAAAATAAAATGTTTAGCTCCAGATGACACTGCAAAGTATTATCTCTATTTTGATTTAGTGTGCTGATCTTAAGGGTGCATTGAAAAATTTGATACTCCGACTGATGCTTCTGTTGTTGTGGAGTAACTCATGCAGCCAGCTATGGCTCTAGGATATGGTGTTACATGCTATTTATGTAGTTTGTAAAAATTCGGTCACAGTCCCTATGATAACTGTTACGTTGCAATTATGGCTTTATTTTTTGGTGATTTCGAAAACTTTTTTGGTTTGGACATGTTTGTTTTGTTGTAGTACGGAGTTAGACTGATGGCCTTAATCTAAGTTTTCTTGTGGTTGTTGTTTGAGCTGCATCCCACTGGGATTTTTTGCACACAGCGTTGGTGTACGGTGCTTTTTCAAGAATATTTTGCTGTTTTTTTTCCTGGATTTTCTGTTTGCACAGTCACATAGTCACTTTAAGATGTTTTTCTTGTTCGTGTTTTTGTTTTTTTGTTTGTTGTGGTTGCACCCGAATCAACAGCCGAATGGCTCACAGGGCTATACCAAAATAAATAAACTGAACTGAAAAAAAACTGAACTGAAAATTTCCACATACAAGTAAAATATTTTAGTCCAATGCTCTGTTAGCTTTCAAGACCAATATTATCCAGCAGCATCTGTTTACGCAAGCAAACTCTAGACCGGTTTCTACCTTCTGAGTTTCATCAACAGGCAGGCTTATTGAACAGATTGTTCTGGGTTTCCAGATATTATTTGGAAAAAAACACTCCCTTTAAAGTGTTCAAATTTTGCTTGCTTAAACAAATTCTGCTGGATAATACTGGATTGGAAAGCCAATTGGCCAATGGACTAAAACATACTATATTTATATGTGGAGACAAGACGCAAAACAGAGTTCGGTTAATATATGCCATTTCCCAGAATGCTCCACAACAACACAATAGTTTTGTAGAACAATTAAACACGTCTCTACTACCACTTCAGTGCGCTGCCCCCTCCCCCCCCCACCCCACAGCAAGCAGGATATTGCGAGGAACTCACGCTTCTGCACGCAGGGTGAGACGGCGAGCAGCGAGACGGCCACACAGAGGACGAGGTTGAGGGACAGGAGGCCCTTGTTGAGAGCGCAGCCCAACGGGTTCGTGTAGAACACGATCATGAGGGCGAAGGCGGCGATGGCCGCCGCGTAGAAAATCAGCGTGACGGTGATGAGCGCCGCGTACCAGGCCTTGTTCTGCTCGGCACCGGTGAGCCTGGCGAAAGAGCGCAACGGAAACACCGGTCAGGTCGGTCGGCAAGTCAGGAGGCGAGTTGGTAGGCAGGCAGGTGAGTGGGGGTAGGCAGGTAGGTGAGTGGGGGTAGGCAGGTAGGTGAGTGGGGGTAGGCAGGCAGGTGAGTGGGGGTAGGCAGGTAGGTGAGTGGGGGTAGGCAGGTAGGTGAGTGGGGGTAGGCAGGCAGGTGAGTGGGGGTAGGCAGGTAGGTGAGTGGGGGTAGGCAGGTAGGTAAATATGTAGGAAAATGGCTATGGGTAGGCAGGTAGGTAGGTGGGTAGAGATCGACAGCTCGGTAAGTGGGTAGGTAGGTAGAGAGGTGGGTAAACGGGTAGGTGGTAGGGATAGGCAGGCAGGAAGGTGAGTAGTTGGGTAGGTAGATGGGTAGGGGTAGAGATTTGTTGACGAGGCAATTCAGATCTACAAACACAGACACAATTTCAACCGAGAAGATGGTTTCAAATTAAGCAACCATTGGAAAGATGTTCTAAATCGAACCAAACATTAAACTAATTTTCAATGGTACAGTATATTTTTCAAGTAGTGGTACCCCAAACTTTCGCAGCTCTTAAAAAATTCCCTTTTCACACCATCAATAGGTAAACTCCCCCCCCCCCCCCCGCGCCAACCGGTATGTTCACCCGCATGTACACCACCTCTACACCGTTCATCATGCCAAGTTGGCCAATCAAATGCAAATTTGTATGCTAATTCCTTTGTCAAGGTACCTTGTTTCCTCGCAAACAGCTTAAAGTTCGCGGTCTGAGCGTGGCTGTGTTTCACTCCAGCTCTGTCCTTGAGACAGCCTGGTCCCTTCACCTGATGAAGGCCGCTTGTGTTGTGGCCGAAACGTCGTGATTTTTGTTGTTTTATGTTTTACCTACGTGACTTTACCGAATAGAACCAAACAGTAGGGGTAGGGAGTTAGGTTTGTATGGATGGTAGGCAGGTAGGGGATTAGGTAGGTACGTGGGTAGAGGTAGACAGGTTAATAGGTGGAGTTAGTCTAATAAGTACAGCCAGAAAAAACATGCAACCTTAGGCCAACGTTGCACATTTACTGGGGAGATGTTTGCAACAAGTAAAAACTATTAAGAATACAATTCAAGTAATATTTTTTTTTCCGTGAGAAACTAGCGCATGCATGTTCTCACAGTATAGGGATAATTTTAACTGACAAGTAAAATGTCAAATTACACTAAGTTTCTTTTGGATTAGTGACAGTTTTATTGTAACAAGCAGTGGGAGGACCCAATCAAATCTGGAAAAAAAAACAGTTATATTACCTACATAATATGGTAATAAAACATATTTCACAGAAGCTTCAATAGCACAGCACTCCATGCGAAAGCCTAGAATTAATTACAAGAGGACAATCTGGGATACTCAAAAGGCAAGGTAAAAAAACATGTTTTGCAACAACTGGATGAATCAAAACGAACAGAAAAAAATGTCTACGCCTACGTTTACCTCAAAGTTACTGACCACTCAACTTAATATTGATATTAAATTTCCAACTGCCACAGGACAGAAGACAAAGTGGTGGTTTTTCCTGCATTAATAGTTTGCTGCTTAATGGGATAATCAATCATGAGGGAAGGATATCTTACTCTCAGGGTGGTCGATAGAGTAAGACAATGTCTCATGTCTGAACCGCAGAATTGCCAAATTCAAAGCCCTAACATTGGAAGGCTGGCCATTGACAGTGTTTAATGTCTTCTGAACAAAGTAACTGAGTTTTTCTTTCGTACATAAATAAACGTGTAAATAGCTTTTGTTTTACATCCCTTTGTGAGTCCACTGCTAGATAAAGTCCTCCCTGGGTGACATCAGCCATGGGAATTATTTGACCATACTTGACCATGCTGTTCAGTGTGGTGAAAGTATGGTGGAGTCCAGAAATAGTTCAGATATCACTGGCCACTTATGTTAGCCACGGCTGGGAATCAACTCAGGAGGCTAGGTTTCTAAACACTAAACATTATTTTAAAATTATTTTTTAAAAATACTGTATCAAAATACAGGATCTAGTACGGCAACTTCTTATAGATTTTATTTGTGTGGAGAGACACTTTTATGCACTCATAAGCAATGGTACTTCCAGACAATTGCAGTGTTATACCCAGTTCACGCTTGGAAATGCGACTATCCTGGTCTCTTGAGTCCTTACTTGATTAAGCAAATAAACTTGGCTTATCGTATCAGAAAGACAGGCAAGGAGTTGGACAAATATCTGAAGCAGATCGCTCATAAAATATATCTTGAGACTCAAGTCCGAATTTCCTAGCCACATTCCATTCGAGTAAACATTCTGGTTAATTTAAGACGTCCTGGGAGACAGTAGCCTTCGAAGCCCACCTGTTTCGTGTTTGTATGTCTCCTTAAACCCAACTAATACTCTCCTCTGTGTGAAATGCATATCATTAATTAGAATTTCCTAGGTAAATTATGTTAAAATGTGTTCATTTAAGATGTACTGTACATGTCTTAGAATGTGCAAACATTGTAATTTGTTATATCATTATTCATTAATAAATCTAGTCCAGTAATGCAAACACTGGCTATTTAAGATAGCTTAAAAGATAACAATAATTATGAAATAAACGAATGTAATACCTTAGGTGATATCAGTCTTAAAAACACACAGAGCAGTAGGCTGTGCATAGAGGTAAGGTTTGGACTTCGAAAACAACTCCACGCTAGCACTGGATTGTTCCTGGGTCTGCTTTTCGTCATGCTCCCCCGTTTACATTTTAAAGACGGCGTCAAGTATAACATGGCTTGACCACAAGCTCTTAGCTGACAGAAACTCGGTGCAAATGCAGGTTCATGCAAGATTCCAAGATTCCACTTTTATTTAAAAGCTCGTTCCAGATACAGGTACCAACTGTGCCAACCCGGCATGCCAATCGCACTGGAAATGTTCTCCTACCTTTAGTTGAACCTCACAAAGCACCTCAACAGAACATACCGTTATTAAATGCTGTTAACGATGCCAAAGTAGAAACACTTAATGCTAACTCTCTGCATCTCTTATGTAATCATAACACCCACAATGGTCGACTGGCAGTTTTAATGATGGAACGGTCACTTTTCACGTTTTATTCAACAGAAAAAAGGACAACTTATTGTAAAACGTTAAGTGTTTCCACTACAGATAAACGATTGTGAGGTCATTTTCAGACATCACAAATTCCCACTGCCCTGCAAAAGTCAGAAAACAAATAAAATGGGTTGCTTGTTTATGAATTGTTCTCCAAAAAATTTGACAAAGCATGACACGCTGACTTTTTAAAGTTGTGATGTACCCACTATATTATTAAACAGGAACAAGTCCTGAAATACCAGTAAAGAGTTGAGAAAACTTGACATGCCAGTCGATCGTTAATCTTTCTTACTTGTATTTTACATATACAACAAAGGCCACAATGGATAATTTGTGAGTGACTTTGTAAAGCTTTGTGCCAATATAAAAAAGCCCATAGTACTACTGGGATGTTATCTATTCCTCTCTTAGAGGTTTAACCTTTACTGATAACACAAAACAAAGAGCCCATCAAGCCATCTGGTGTGTTCTATATATTTTATGACTCAAGCTACCAGTCTCAAGTTAATTTGGGCTTCTATCCAAAGAAAATCAAAACAGGGCTTTAAAAAAATGCCTAAACACTTTGGCTACCAATGTATATGTCGCCCGTGTTTGGATGGACAGCAGTAAACACTGCACTGCTATTCGTGCCAGAGTTGGAATGCAATCTACAAACACTGCATTTAAGCACATGTCACCACTGCCTCTGCCACCATACTGGTTACAGGCAACTTGTTCTGAGCTTTGCTGATCCTTTCAACACAAACTACAAAGAATGCAGGAACAATACACTGGCTTGTGGAATACATTACATAACCGCATGTGTAGTATCTATTCATATTTGTTGTATAATATAGTAGACATAAAGGAATTTGGCTTGGATCCCTCAGAAGGCCAATGCCTTTCCAAGTACTGAGCAGCACTGCTGGGCTGAAATCTGGTTAAACAAAAGGTACTCTGGTATTGGGAGTTGATGAGCTCAAATGACAAATAATTGCTCACAAAAAGTATATGATAGTACATTATTAAAAGGTACAATTCAGGACCATGATGAATGGCAACAGCTTGGCGAGGCCTTAATCCAGCAGTGGATTGATATTGTCTGATTATGATTATCCCATGCTGGTTAATAAGGATGTGTTTTATTCCAGAATAATTTCTGTGGTGTCACCATCTGGAGCCATTTTGACAGGATGCAATGCTCAGCAGACTGAGGAAGTTTCAGAAGGGTGTCCTCTGCACCTTGTGACACGACGGACATTAAAATTTAATTCGCTAAAAATCTAAATGCGCATATGTAGTAATTAAAAACATCATGTAGCCAAATGTTGCCCATCATCAACCATAAATGTATGCACTACTGAGTGAAGGCCTTTCCACGTCGTCACCATCTCTCACAGTACTGTGCCTGAGCCGATTTAATTTCTCCATCATTTGGCTGTCATTCCATCTCCAGTCTAGTTCATTGGTTATGATTCCTTGTTGCGATAACAGCCTGGTCAAGCCCATTTACTTTTCAAAGTAAAACATCCCTCAATTGCATTTGTTCTCTGTGAACAGTAAACCTCAATCACTGTACATTTTGGCTAATTTCCACCGATGGTAAATTATTGGTTGGCTATGCACATGAGTGGGCACAACAGCATTTTTATGAATCCTGGAAGGACCTCAAAGAGGCCCTCACAGGGCAGAGATCAAACAAAATTGCAGTACAGTATGTCCCTTAATTACAAGTGATTGTAACATGTTGGTACACAAGCACAGATTAGTTAGTACAAGCAATACACAATTATTACACTCAATGTTGCTAACCGAAACGTAAAATAACAAGATATGTTAATAAAATGTCCACATAGCATTGTGTAAACGTTTTTAAAAGCAAGGTGAATGCATG